GTGTGTTGTGCATACAGGCTTTTTCAGACGACTGCAATTATCTTCAGCATGTCATCTGCAGTGAGTCATATCACTGACCCTGCATGCACACGAAGCGCCCTGAATGAACCCGAAGCCTTGAGCCGCGAGCCCAAATCATCGAAGCTTTCCTGAGGCGGCGCGCTATGCGCCGGTGGAGGACTTGGAGGAGCCGCGGGCACATGTTGACGGAGGGCTCGTAAAGGGTTACTTAAAGGATCATGGGACTCGGTAGTTGGAGTTATAAGTAAGGTAGCTAAAGTTATATGTAGTTATAACCCTGATTAAGGTACTTCTAACCCTACTTGCTAAGTCCCATGATCCTCCAAGTAAGGCTTTAGAGTTCAGGGTTCAGGGTTTATAACGGTGTTAAGGGATCTGCAATCATATTGAGGCATTTTAGAAAAATATTCAAGGCGGCCTCCTGTACTTAAAGAAGGGAGCTTATTATAGAACCCCCGAGTAATAGTACCCTTCAATGAACCCCAGTATAGAACCATACGTTTGATGCTGATTAAGGCAGCACAATCATGCAGAAAACCGAAATCGCACAGAAACTGCAAGTAGATGTAAGTCAGACTTAAGCGATTTGAAGCTAAGGAATACACTGAAGTCAGGACGGGGCCAGAGGAAAATGCGTAACCAGTAGAGGTGCAGAACCCGGTACCTTTCCGTAGGGGTACCACGGTTGATGATTTAAAGCTTGCACTGCGCACAAAAAGGAATACACCAGAATTCCCATAGGGTAAGGTCCTGAAGGCCTTAAGGTAATGCACGGTCTATATCATACCCTTTGAACCCTCAACCTCAAACTCAAACTCCTAAACCATGTGGGAAAGCTGGGGTCGACCCATGAGCTACCGCACGATCGTCAGAAGGATTTGCAAGTAGTCACAGGCCAGTCATCATCGTACTTATTAGGGTTTAGGGTTTAGGGGTTTAGGGTTTAGGGTTTAGGGGTTTAGGGTTTAGGGTTTAGGGGTTTAGGGTTTAGGGTTTAGGGTTAGATGGTTCTGGTGGTGGTAGTGGTGGTGGTGGCAGCAGCAGGAGGAGCAGTGCAGCAGGAGCAGGAGGAATCAGGGGATCACTGTTCCGCTCCAGCCCTTGCCACGAGAGCCTGCCGTAATCCGAACGTTGCTACAGGTCCACAATGAAACCTACCTTCTTAGAGCAGGGTCTCGGGTTTAGGGTTTAGGGTTCCTGAATATGATTCCCTTAGAAAGTAGGTTTCTTGGGGTACAGTTAGGCCCGTATACTGTATACATGCAAGGCACGACGGTCAGGGATTGTAAATCGAAACGGATGATCCGAAGCGAGACCGGCATCCATGGCGGGAGGACGCATTCATCCCAAGATTTTAGTGCTTTGTGCCGAGAGCATTTCGCTTGCATACCCCACGGTGTGCAAAATGGAGAAGAAAACTGTATAGGGTTTAGGGTGTACGGTTTAAGTTTTAGGGTTTAGGGTGAGGGTTTATGGTTTAAGGTTTAGGGTTTCCATTGGAAGAAGGGTCCAGCACTCGTTAATCGCCGTTGACCACAGTATCGAAAGCCCAGTGTGATCCTCTCCGCCAGCGCCAAACCCGAAACCCGATCCACAATCTTCTAAAACTCCACACCATAAAGCGCTAAACGCTGAAATTCCCAGCCCTGAAACCCTAAACCCTAACCAAGCCCTAAACCTCATAAGGCTCTAAACACTGAGGTTCCCAAACCTGAAACCCTAAAGCTATGTGGCTTCAATTGCATCGGTCGGATAGCTGGGTTCGGCCTGGCTCCTTGTAGTGTCAGCCGTTCCGGAAGAACGACTGGAGCCCAAAGTAAACTCTGAACCTGTAAACTCTGCGGCTTCAGTCGTTCTTCCGGAACACTTTATGCCTCTCAGCCCCTCGTAACACCCTCACCTTCTGAAAGCCTTATCAGTGACCTGCCTCTAAACCCTACCTGTGGCGCCCAAAAACTTATTCATTCATGGTTTTTCGGCTACAAGTAAATCCTCTGACCCGATGAGGCTACTCCGGTAGAGCTACCGCAGTGTGTGCTGGAGCGAGGGGCCCATCAGGCAAGGCTCCTCTGAATCGCTGTGTTGTGTTTCTTTGCAAGGTTGGGATTCGGGTTCAGAGTACAGGTGTGTGGGTTGATTCTGAGTTCTTTGGGATCATAGTTGATTTTTTTGGCCACGTTGAGCTTCTTGCAGCTACTTGTTTGCGATGAGTGGCTTCTCTTTGCAGCAGGTTCGTGTGCTTGTTCTGTCGGGCATAGTCGTTCGCTTGCTGGTTGGGCCGGGAACATCTTCACTTCGCTTCTGGGTTTGATCCTTACAGTCCGAAACTCCCTAAACCCTAAACCCTCAATCGGTTTAGGGTTTAGGGTACGACTTGACCGTAGGCCTTCCACCCAAACTCACCTGAGCGGCACCGCGTCGAATCTAGGATGACGCAAAACTTCCCTTTGGTTAGTAGGGAATGATGGAAGACTGGTAGTAATAGTAGTTATAATTGTACCCCATTCCTAAACCCTAAACCCTAAACCTTTAACCCTAAACTTATAGGTAAGTAAAGCTGTGAGCCCTGAGCGCCGAGTCCGAGACTGGAAACCCTGAAACCCTGTACCCTAAACCGAACCCATGCAATCAAAGTCCTAAATTTAGTTCAATCGAACGTCAGGGGATGTATGTTTAGTTCAGCTCTGTCCCTTTTCTTTTTTTCTCTCTTTCTCTCTAAATTATGTATAGAACGAGTATATTATGTATAGAACGAGTATATACATATCATACATATCGCTAAGCATACTTTTGTTGGTACATGCATTCACATATTTGTATATATTCTCTTTTGAATACTCTAGACATGTGGTTTACGCTGTGACACCCCAAGCCCTTAATCCCAAACCCCAGGGTCTAAACCCGAAACTCGACGTCCTACGATATGCACCTCAAACCCTTAGCCCTGAGCCACTACTTAAACCCTTGAGCCCTAAACCCGAAGGCCCTAAACTTTATCAAACACTAACTTCTAGACTCGAAATCCGTACAAACCTCAACATCTAAACGCCCCAAACCCTCAAGTTGAACCCTTTCGCCCCTTTCGCAGGAGGATCTCGAGCCCGTGGTGCTGGGCAGACCACGTCCGGGCCGTCAGACGAGTCGATTCAGGCGTTAATGCGGTTGATGATATAGATCATTACCCACATAATTCCCATAGTTTAGTGTCCCTAAGGTAATGCAGGATTTATGTCATCAACAGTAGGATCCGTGTAAATGAAGGGGCTTAGGCTTAGAGTGTGGGACTGGGCTTCAGGGTTTGGGGTTCGGGGTTCGGGACTTGGTATCTTCAAACTCAAAGACCATGAGTTGGGGTTTCTGCCTTACGAGCTTAGGCCTTCGGCAATGTTCAGCAGCATTATGAGTACCCAAAAATTCCAACTTCCCTTAATTCAGGAATATTCCTCAAATTGTATTAGGGACCCTACAAAAATTTAAGGTATATTCCTTAAGTGAGGGATCTTGGAGTCTACGAGTACGACGTGCAGGATAGTCACAAAGCCAGCTGTGCTCCTGACATCACGAACGACTTCTTCACCAAACCCTAAACCCTAAACGTTAGTATTGCCTTATGCCTGTTCGGAGTTTTGTTGCTCAGCCCATTTGTGACTTCAACTGTTGTTGTTCTTGTCATTGTTATTGTGGTCCTGCTGTTGGTGGTGTTGGTGTTGGCTTCTGGGCTCATGATGTTGTTGCGCTAGTGGGTTGTTGTGTTTGAAAGACACCAAATCTATTCTTGATGGGGCATGTAGACGTTGGGTGAAGGGTGCGTGTGTTTTTGTCTTCGCGCCTGGCCTGTGATGTGGAGGGGCTAACAACAACAGTGCGTCGCTTCCGCAGCACTTGCACTTTAGTAGTGAGAGCAATGCAAGAGGTACCATTTAGAAGAGTAGAGGGCTCATTTAAAGCACGAGCGAGAGAGAGAGAGAGAGAGAGAGAGAGAGAGAGAGAAAGAGAGAAAGTATGAGAGTTAAGGGAACGAGCAGTAACAATTGTGCTGAGAGACATGGCATGGGCGTAGTGTGCGTAGTGAAATCAGCAAGAGTACTATAGATAGCAAGAAGATCAAATGCCGGACAGGCGGATGATATACTACAGCATTCATGACCCCTTTCTTAACAGGGAGCAGCAAGATAATGTAGGAACGCGATTAAGAAACCCTGGTCCTATAACGCCAAAATAGTAGGATTCATATAAGGAACCCTACGAAAGGCCCGAGGTTTCTTAATCAGATTCCGACATCAGCTGTGTTTCTTTCGTGGTAACGTACTTTTGGGACCCTTGGGAGGCCCATCGCGGGAAACGTTTGGAAGATCAGTACTCTTAGATCCCCAACACCCAACCTTTAAACTTTTTGGGTTCTTGTAGTTTAGTAGGAATCGGAAAGTTTTATCTGCCAATTCTGTGGCTTATTGGGGTAGTAAGTATTTAGAGACACGGGAAACAAGAATTGTAAGCCCTAGCACCCTAACCCCTAAATCGAAACTCAAAACTCCCTAATCCTCAAATTCTTGCAACGCTCCCATGGACAAGAAATGGGAGTTTCCGAAAAAGGGGGACCCTAATATAGTACCCTAGATAGTAGGATCCTTATTATTAGAGGACCCCAAAATAAGCTACTCCCTTCTTTGCGGAAACTCCAAACCCTTATAGAGCCCTTTAAAGGAAGCCTTATAGTACCTTATAGTAACCCTGTAAAGGAACCCTAAGGTACCCCTTAGTTTTCGGAAACTCCCGAATGTCAACCCGGGCCTCGAAGTCAAGTTTGGGCTCGGTTTGATGATGTTTGCCCGCCTCATTTTGGGCTCGGTTTAGGGTTTAGGGTGTAGGGTTTTGGGTTTAGGGTTTAGATGTTTGCCCGCCTCATTTTGGGCTCAGGATTTGTTTCAAGTTTTGTTTCCACTCATCTGTCTGGACAGTGACGAGTCTGCCCGACAGCTATGTGTATCGGGACAGCAGAGAACTTGGTTCGACGCGGCCCCGCACCCTGGCAGCTTTTGCTTAAGCTTAGGGTAGGTGTCCTGCTCCCTTTACCGTAAGCCCGAAACCTTAAACCAAAAACCCTCAACTCGAAACCCTAAACCCGAAAGCCTTAAAACACCGAATCAGAGACTAAATTGTATGAAGAGGACAGGTTTTACTGTTTTGGGTTTACACTCGGTAGGTTCTTCTTTGGGAACTTGGGTTTTATGGCTTTGGACTCTTGTTTGGGAACTTAAGACTGACTGACCGACGACTGTCTGACTGACCGCGGAACCGGGCGGGCCTTGGCGGGAGCTTCCCAGAGCCTCCAAAACCCCTTAATTAAGCAATATACCTTAAATAATATTAGGGATCCTATTACAATATTTCAAGTATATTCCTTAATTAAGGGGTTTTGGAGGCTCTGGGTTATGCGAGAGCAGAATGCGGGGCTCTGGTGGGAAGACCAGGTCTTTAGTTCACATCGAGTTTAGGAAATCATCGCTTCGGGTGCTGCAGTTCTACATAGCGTTACCACACCGCTGGGGGAATGCGATTATGGATGTCCTAATGTAAGACACCTTGGGCCTATGACCCCAAAATCGTGGGATTCAAGGCTTCTTAATCAGGTTCCTACATGATCATGGTACCCTTATAGACCCCGTATAGTAACCCTTATAGATTCGTTTACAGGATCATGAATAAAGGCCAAGGTTTCTGAATCATATTCCTACATTACCTGCTTGCATGCCATAAGCCCACGCCATCCTACATTGCAGCGACAACAGTAATATAGGGGTCTAAATACTTACCTATGCTATTTTGGGGGTTCCTTATTATAGTTACAGTATAACGGGCCCCAAAGCCCTATTCTAACTATTCAGGCCCCTATGTTAAGTATTTTGTATCCGATCATGGTGTAGCAAACTTGCACAGAGCCCTGTAGCCCAAGAAGTGCTCGTAAAGTTCGATCTAGAAGTAACATGAGTTACAACAGTAGTTGTGGTGCTGACACGCATCACAACAATATCCATGAACATAGCAAGCATCATCTGCTAGGTATTCCATAGCATATCGTAGTTTAAATTAGCGACATCTACCGTAATATAGCACAACACACAAGCTAGCACGAGAAATTACAGCACAGTGTGGCATCGCATAACTATGGGCTTAACATCATCTACCTTAACCAACCAGAACCTACTTTTTTGGTAGGGTCCCTTTAAATTCCACATTAGGCGTCATAATAAGAACCTGCAAAAATCCCAGGTTTGGTAGCAAGTGAGGCCTCGAACCCAAGCTTAAATCCGCACAAAGTCGTATGAATCCCAAGAATCACTCAAGAAAAGCCCGATGCCCACGACCCTTATCGAACCCTACATACAATTTCCATGGGTCACTTGCAACACCCTTCTGTAAACCTTAGACCCTAAACTCAAAACCCCAAGCCTTAAACTCTAAGCTCTAAAACCCTAAGCTCTAAAACTTCAAGCCTCAACCCAAACCTTCTTGAAGAATCCGTCTGAGGCCCGGAAATCGAGGCGCCCGAGTTTGGAGGAGCTGTTGACCTCCGCTGCAGAGGCTTCGCCGGTTTTGCGTTTGGGGTTGAGGGTTTATATACTATGGGATACTATGGGATTTCTGTGTTTGACAAGCAGCAAGCATTCTGGCTGTTAGTGCCATGTATATTGGATATAACCATCCCATAATAGGACATACGTACGGTAAGATGAATCAAAAGGTTACTATAATGTGATTCAGGTTCCCACCCTCAACCCTGAGTTCTAAACACTATATAAACGGGAAACCTTAAACCCCAAAGCCTAAGCCCTAAGCCCTTAACCCTGAACCCGGCGTACTTCAAGGTAAAGCCTTGAAGCCCGAAAATCCACGGCTGCGAGGCGGCGCGCGCAGCTCCCAACCGTGCGGCGCCGGGTTCCCGGTTAGGGGTTGTGGGGGCATGGGCTTCGGCTAGGGTTTAGGGTTTGGGGTTTAGGGGGGGCCTGCCCCTGTAAGGGGTTCTATGCGGGTCGTGCAGAGGGTTCTTTAAGGGTTCTACTATGGATCTATGATTTTTCCAAGGGACTTAGTAGGTAGAGTAGTGGGGTTCTCCTAATTTGTCACCTGGCTTGTCTCATAACCTTACTTACCAAGTCTCCTGGGCCTTCATATAAGTAGTAATTGGTGGTACTGTTTCTCCGGACTGCTAACTATTAAGTCTCCTATACCAAGCTCTATGGACCCCCGAAAGGATTCCTGTCAAGGTGCCCATACAAGAACCCTTAGACCCTCTCCTTTCGCGCAGACTTCGGAGCCCGCGTTGAGTCGAAGCCCTGGACCTAAACCCTAAACCCCTAAACCCGGCCCTAAACCCAAAACCTTAAATCCCAAACCCCAAACCCCTAAACCCCGTAAAACCCTAAAACCCCAAACCCCCTAAAACCCTAAAACCCTAAACCCTAAGCGCTCGGGTCGGAGCTTGAGATGCAGGCTTTTGCTCGTGGTTTCCGTGTACCGGCCTTAATGGAGCTAATGTAGGAACCTGATTCAGAAACCTTGGGCCTTCATTAGGGTTCCTTTAAAGGGGTCTACAAGGGTTGCTATAAGGGATCTATAAAGGGTACTTTTGAAAATCTAGGAACTTGATTAAGAAACCTTGGGGCTTTATTAGGGTTCCTGTTATGAATCCTACGATTTTTGCTGGGTTCTAGGCCCAGCGTTTCTTAGTCAGGTTCCTACATTACCCTAACGCCCTGAAGCTTTCTGCCCCCGAGAGCCCCGAACCCGTAAACTCCTAAACCCTACACTCCCTGCACCCTCGGAAGCTTCAAAAGGTGGGATGAAGGTGGGTAGGATCAAGGATCCCTTATATCAGAACTCTCATTTGGAAATATCCAACCTACCTTCATCCCACCTTTTGAGGCCTCCGACACCTACAACACCTTAACCTTCTGTGCTCGGAACGTTCTGTGCAACCCTGAGCCCCAAACCCTACTTGGAGGGTCGGGGGACTTAGTAACTGGTTATTTTAATGTCTTATAAGTACCATAACCCTGATGAGGGTCCCTTTTACGGTACTTATAAGTCTACTTACTACCTATTTACTAAGTCCCCGGACCCTCCAAGTAAACGATATGCTGGATACAGTTGGGACCTCAGAGGGTTGGTTCAGGTAGGCTTACTTGGAGGCCCAGGGGACTTAGTAAGTCGGCTATAAGTAGGGAGTAGGCTTATTATTGGGGTAACTCCATTCAGGGTTCTTATATCTCCATGTTAACCTACTTACTAGCTCCCCTGGGCCCCTAAGTGGGGTTCTGATTTGCCTGTGAAGCACAGGCCCCAACCCTCAGCCTCTTCCTAAGCTAGGAGTTGTATTATGAACAGCAGTGACAAAAGGATCCCCCCAACAAACACCTTTGAACCATATACCCTAAACCCTGAACCCTCAACAGTATACTAAACCCCAAACCCTAAAACCCTGAACCCCTAGGCTCTCTAGACCTTCTGCGGGAATAGAAAGAGGCCCCCTTAAAAAAACCCTGAACTCTAAACCCTAAACCCTAAACCCTAAACCCCTGAACCCTAAACCCTAAACTCTGAGCCCAAAACCACTTCGCCTCGAGGAAGCGACGCGTTCGCCAAAGATTGCACAAGAAGCTCGGGGCCATGCTAACGATCGAGGACCCACACTTGGAGGGGCAGGGGACTTAGTAAGTAAGGGCTCTTACAGGGCTCCTTAAAGGGATCTATTGGGCTTCTTGAAGGGATCCATGGGGTTTAGGGTTTAGGGTCTACTTGGAAGGGCAGGGGACTTAGTAAGTAGGTTATAAGTAGGGTTGTAATTGGGGTAACTCCATTGAGGGTACTTGTAACTTAACTTGTAACGATCGAGGACCCAGAGACTCCAATATCCCTTAAGTAGGGAATTTATTCCTTAGATCATATTAGGGATCCTATCGTACTTTAAGGTATATTCCTTAATTAAGGGGTATTGGGGTCTCTGGGGATTGCTCCCCTCCTTACGGGGTGGGCTTTAGGAAGTAGGGTTTTCTGGGTTTGGGGTTGAGGGCTTTGGGGTTTAGGGTTTAGGGTTTAGGGCTTTCGGGTTGAGGGTTGTCGGGCCATTCTGGGGCGTTTGTGTGCGACCTCTGGGTTTGCTCGGTAGGGTTCGCTGCAGGAGATCTTGTTTCAAGGTGTTTGGTTGCAAGGTTCTGTGGCGTTCGAAGCGACAGGGAGCCTGAGGGTGATGTCCGAAGGAGCTACCCTAAGCCCTAAACCCGAAATTAGAAGCCTTAAAGCCCCAAACCCGAAGCCCAAAACCTGGAACTCTAAGGCTAAATCCTAAAGGCATCGAGGCAATTGTGTTTACAGCCGGGCCACGGGTTGGAGTTCGAGGCGGAAGGCAGTAAGTACGCTAGAGAAGTGCCATATCCCGACTTCAACAGAAGCGCTGGACTAACATTAGTTTAGACCAGCTGAGGAGAATCGTAACATTACTTGCGCTTGACTTCTTGCTACCATCACGTCTATTTAGGGTATTACTTGTTGTCAGCAGAGGTTTCGAACTGTATGCTATCCTACTGCTGCTACTTTCTATTGCTGCGCTGCCGCTGCTACTGGTGTTGCTGCTACCACTACTATCAGCGATACCGCTACGCTACTGCCGCTGCTGCTGTTACAGCCACTTTCACTGACACTGTCGTAACCACTGGGGCTGCTTCACCACTGCCAACATGACGACTGTTGAATTGTATCTTCATTAGTTCATAGGAGGCCAAAAGGGGTTTTAGCCTATGGGGGTTTAGTAGGGGTTAGGGTTCCCATAATAGGGTTCATATTAAGGAATCCCTACCCCAAGAATCTTAAACCCCCCTTTCGGCCTCCCATCACTAGTGTTGCTTGATTCTTGGTCTGGTTGCTGCTGTCATCACATCTACCTCGGGCAGAAGCTTCAAGCCCTAAACCCTGAAGCAGTGCCTTTTCCTTACGCCGTATGGCGCACCACACTTAAAAGAAAGCCCTAAGCCCTAAGCCCTTAGCCCTGCAGTCTCTGTACCCTACATCCTAAAAACTGAACTTTAAACTCCATAAACCCTGAACCCGAAACCCTGATTCCTAAGCCCTAAACCCTAAACCCTAAAGGAAAAAGGTGCTTAAACAAAAAAACCTCCTAAATCGCTATCGCATATCGCAGGAGTTTGAGCAAGCCATGGACCGGTTTCAAGTGATGGTCGAAGACGCCGAGGTGAGGGCTCCAACGTCAGCGCATGCCTGCCATAGAAGCTTAGGGTTTGGGGTTTAGGTGCAAGAACCCAAACCTTAAGTGGTAAACCCGAAACCCTAAACTCTGAATCCTAAGGCTAAAGTTCAAAACCTACGCAACTCCTGTCCTTCTGGGTCCCGCAGTCTGCACAAGGTGTTGTGCTGCACTCTTTAAACTTGAAGGTTTCCTCCGCGCAGCATACCAAGGTTCTCCGCTTTTTCCAAGGCCTAATCCCTCGAAAGCCCAAGACTTGTTCCTGGACTCGAAACCCTAAACCGTAAACCCCATAAACCCCCTAAACCCCAAGCCCAAAACCCTAAACCCTAAACCCCATAAACCCCCTAAGCCCCAAGCCCTAAACCCTAAACCCCAAAGCTGATGCTCAAGTCCCACCAAAACCCCAAAACCTCAAATCCCAGACCCGAAACCCGAAAGCCCAAACCCAAAACCCTGCAGCCTAAACCCCAAACCCTAAAGGACCCTTCACAGGAACCCTAAACCCTTAAACCCTAAACTCCAAAGCCTACACACCCTCACGCTCAAGCGCTAACCCTAAAACCCCAAGTCCTACAACTCGAACTTGCCGATCGAAGCACAAGCGGCGCTCGGGTAGCCTTTTGGCTTCGGACAGGAAAGAGGACCATTTCATGGATTTAATACTGGGACTTAATAGAGCTTTAAGTGCTTTAAATGGGTTCCTAATTGGGGTTATTAGCTTATAAGTCTGTAAACTACTTACTAAGTCCCCAGACCCTCCAAGCAACCTTAAACTTTGTTGGGGTGCTCTGATCTTTGTATAACACCAAAGTTAACTTTTAGTTCCCCTGGGATACTGGACAAGCAGTATAGCCCCAGAAGTCAACGTTTAGTTCGCCTAGGATACTGGACAAGTACTGTAAGTGGAGTTCAATTGGTGAGAAGGGAAGAGTGAACTAGTCAGAAGCCGTAAACCCACTGAGAAGCTTGTAAGAGTACTTCGAAGTGTTCCGGGTTTAGGAAGAAGACCCCTTGATTCAAGACGTTTTCTTGAAGAAATGCCTCTTGTTTGAATGTTTTTACTTTACTCCTCTCGGTCGGTTTTCTGCTTACAGATCTTGCCGTGGTGGTAAATGCCCGAAAAATCGTAAAACACCCTAGCATTCTACGGTGCCCTACACCGTTCTAAACCCCAATCCTCTAAACCCTAGACCCCTGAACCCTAAACCCTAAGCCCCTAAACCCCAAACCCCTGAACCCCTGGACCCTTAAAACCTAAACCCTAAACCCCTAATCCCTTAAGCCTTGAAACACCCCTGTGCCCTCCCTACTTGGAGGATCATGGGACTTAGTAAGTAAGGTTATAAGTACCTTAACTGGGGTCAAAAGTATAGTTACCCTAATTATAACCCCAGTTACTAAGTCCCATGATCCTTTAAGTAGACCCTAAACCCTAAACCCTATATATCCCTTTCAGGAACCCTATAGATCCCTTTAAGGTTACTAAGTCCCATGATCCTTTAAGAAGGGCAACCCAGTATCGCCTTGGCCATGGAGCTCACCCGGGAACCCTCGCCGCGCGCGGCGCGGCAGGCGGCCAGGCCTTCGGAGTTCCCAGAGCCTCCAAAACCCCTTAATTAAGGAAATTTAAGGAATATACCTTAAATCATATTAGGGATCCTATTATAATTTAAGGTATATTCCTTAATTAAGGGGTTTTGGAGGCTCTGGGTTGCTGGAGAGAAGAGCCCTGAACCTTCGGTTTAGGTTTTGGGGTTTAGGGTTCAGGGTTTAGGTTTTGGGGTTTAGGGTGCAGGGTTTAGGGTTTGGGGTTTAGGGCTACGGTTAGGGTTCCTATACGTACGTATAGATACGTCTTTTAGGGGTTCATAGTATAATGGTAAAGAGCCCCAATTTAAGAACGACATGAACCCGAAAAGGGTTCCAGCTTATATAGGAACCTATACAGCTCCCTTTAAAAGAGCCCTTACAACATGATAGCATAAGTATAAGGGTATAGCACCCCGACATTTAAAGGGTCATTCGGTCCTGAAGAGCACACGAATCTCTGAGCTCAGGGTTTAGGGGTCATAAGGAGCTGTGGGTTCGTTTCAATATGCGGTGGACACTGCGGATACAGGATAGCTTTATATCTCTGTTAATCTCCGTGACAGCAGTGGCGGCATGTACCAAAGCTTTAAGCTACTTTAAATCCGAAAAACTCTTAATTTTAGATTCTAAGCCCTTCACCCTCAAGCCTGCATGGGTTTCGTAGACGAAACCCATGCCAGGCGTGCACGAGCTGCCAAGGTGCTTGGCTGGATATCGATTGTGCGGGATTTCAGGTTGGGGCTAGTTTTAGGTTTTGGGTTCAGGGCTTTGGGTTGAGGCTCTAGGGTGTAGGGGGTCCAGTCTATTTGCAGCAATTAGCCTTAAACCAAAAGCCCTAATTGCTGCTGCTGGATCTTGGAGTCACGAGAAGTACCACTACAAGCGAATCTAGGGTATGGGGGTTGAGGGTATAGAGTTTAAGATGTGGTTGGTTCAGGGTTTGAATCCAGAGTGCCAAGCCGGGATTATGTGATTCGATGCCTTCGTTGGGTGTCTCCTCTGCCCCCGAAACTCGCAAAAGCAAGGAGTGCCGGGCATGCGAATCCTACCTTGGGGCTCGCTACACACTTGAAGGACACACATATAGACAAGTAGGTCAGAGAGAGTTATAGACAGATAGACGGAGCGAGAGAGCGAGAGAGGAAGAGAGAGAGAGAGAGGGACGGTCCTAGACGCAGACAAAGATATGAGAAGTTACAAGCAGACATAGACATCAAGGTAGGTTAGAGCTGGAGATACGGGATCATATGCTTTGCTATCTGGTGGCCCGAAATCCGCTAAAGAAAATTGCATTCTTTTGCATTCATTTCTTTTCGGTTCCGCTTCGCATTTCACTCCTTAAATTACATATAAACATGGTGTGTTTCGTTCGAACTGAGCACAATGACTGGCTTCTTGTTAAGGGATTTCATTTAAGTTACCAAAATAGGGAAACCATATCATTCACCATGGATCCCTACAATGGTACGTAACTTTTATTGAACTTCTTAAGAAGAACACAGCTGAAAGCCTCCAACCCTAGCTTCATCTTCCACACGTCTGAGCCCTAAACCCTGCACCCCTGAGCCGCAAACCTTATAGTAACTTCCATAGACCCCTTTGTTTCCTTTTAGCTTAAGCTTGAGAAGAACCTCCTTGAAGGAATCCCTTTCAAGGAACCCTTAAAGGAAACCTCGAAAGGAACCCCTTTAAAGGAGACCCCTAAAGGAGCCCTGAACCCTAACATAGAACCCTTCAAGGAACCCTTTGAAGGGGCCCCTAAAGGAGCCCTTTAAAACGGGAGCCCTGAATCCTACCCTAAACCCTAAACCCTAAACCCTTAACCCTAAACCCTAAACCCTTAACCCTAAACCTAAACCCTAAACCCTAAACCTAAACCCTAAACCCTAAACCCTACTAACCCTTAAATCCGTCGCGCTTTTGAGGCGCAGAGCCAAGACATGGCCTTCTGGATGACGCAGATGGAGGTTCCTTTGAAGAGATCCCGAAACCCTAAATCCCACTTACTTGGAGGGGCAGGGGACTTAGTAAGGGCTCTTAAAGGGCTCCTTAAAGGGATCTGTAGGGTTCCTTAAAGGGATCTATGGGGTTTAGGGTTTAGGGTCTACTTGGAGGGGCAGGGGACTTAGTAAGTAGGTTATAAGTGGGTTATAATTGGGGTAACTCCATTTAGGGTACTTATGACTCTACTTATAACCTACTTGCTAAGTCCCCTGCCCTTCCAAGTAAACCCGAAACTCTTGAAAGGGTTTCCTTTAAAGTATCCCTGAAAGAGCCTTTAGAATCCTTTAAGGTAAGGGAACCTTTTAGGGTTTAGGGGTTCCAAGCCGAACGGCAACAAACTTCCAGACCCTGAAGCCCCTGATGCCAAAGCCCTACACCGTAAAATCTTGATTCCTAAACCCCTAAATCCCTAAGCCCCTAAACCCTCAACCCTACGCTCCTAAACCCTAAAAAAACTGTGAGGTGACCCAGCCAGAGATTCTGCGTGCCGTCCCAGCCTTTCAAATTTTACAATGCTTCGGCCGTGTCCTGCGGTGCAGTGGGGACTACTATGGCCTGAACCTTTGTTTGAACTATAAAGGTTTTTGCTTATGAGGGGTTATGGTAAGATAAGGCGGTTGCTACAAGGGATACTAGGAGGGTTACTATACGGGTACCGTGGCTTTCAGCCTAAACCCTACTGTTTGGGAGTTTGGGGCTCAGGGTTTGGGGTTCAGGGTTTGGGGTTTGGGATGTTTTTGGTTTTGGGTCTAGGGTTAGGGGAAAGGCTTCTGGGAAGCTTGATGCACAGGGTTGCCTTTCAGGTTCCGACAAGACTGTTTCAAGCAGCTTCAAAAGGATTTGGTAAGGTTGTCGAGAAACCTAGGTTGAGTTGCCAGAATACGCCAGCAAATGACGGTTTACCACAGCCCCTTTGAGGAGCCGTGCTGTCAGCTCCATCGACGAGTTCTGCTCGCACAGTTGGCATGGATCAGCCTGGATGCTGGGTTCTTGTTTTGGAGTTTAAACCACAACTTTAGGGATCTATGGCAAACGATATGGTTTCCCTATTATGGAGCCCTAAGCCTTAAACCGAAGCCCTTGTCCCTTAATTAACAAGAGCCGAGGATGAAGGCGTCACTTTTGCTGTTGATGAAGAATGGGATGGCAGCCTTCGTGGCTGGGACCGTCAGTGCACCTTGGTTCCCGTTGAGAAGCTTGATTTTACCAACTGCAGCAGGGATACATGGTGGTGCAGCCTTGAACACATGTTGGCTAACGCAGTTTCCTACGCGTAGTGGTTGGTAGCTTACATGCAACATTAATTTTGTTACGACGAGCCCAGGCACTGGTGATGATGTTCCTTTTTTGTCTGGACCTTCTGCCCGGCTACTTCCGGAGACCCTTCCTGG